CTGAAAAGGTCAACCTCGTAGCAAGCTAATATGGAAATAACTGCCAGCTGTATGCTCACTTCAGGCGATAATAGTTACAGAAACTGAAACTCTTAATCACACTGATGTCTTTAATGGATTTACTTTGCGATGATTAGGTAAAAACTAACTTGTGTGTGCTTCGAAAATGAACACATCTGAAAAAAATCCTACTTTGATATTAGCATTTAAGGGTGTACATTAAACATTTATTTGTTACAGTGGTTGTCAAGTCGTAAGGACCATTTCTTAGTTATAGGAAGCAAACCGAATTTTCTTTAATCGTTTTATATGGGAAAGGACAAAAGGGTTTGACTGATCCGAACTTAGATTTGGGGATAGAGCTTAGGTGAGCCACGTAAAAGTACCCGCCGTATCACGTTCTTTACTTAAAGATGCGACCCTCGTCTGGAGTGCAATTGGCAAACATTGGCTAAATGAACTAACTTATTCGTGAGAGCTCTTTTATTGACGGCTATATCTAAACTTAATGTCAAAGGGTGGCTGTTTTGAAAGGGACTCTGCGCTGTAAAAGCTTAATTGAAGTTTTTAAAACGTGCGTTAGTTTTTCCGCAACATGGATACGTATGTATGCAACAAAACAATTCTAACAGACCAATGTTTTCAGCCTCAGCTCAAATATCTAACAATCAACTTAATATATAAGTACCGATTATTCGTTCGGTCGTGCGTTTACGTTTTTCTCAAAGGAAAATAATATATTCGTCTCCGACAGATCAGGGCGCTCGATCGTGTGCACCTCAAAGCAAAGGATCGGTCGACTGCGGCCACGTCTTGGTCAACAAACGTGCAGTCATCCGCCACTGGTGGACAATTTAATACGGGCCTGCCCTGTCAATAGCAGCAGCTTACTGATTGTGCCTTTTTGTCATCGCCCCTTAGTTGGAACCGGGACGAACGAGGTTTACGTGCCGGAATGCCAATGTTGTCCAGTATAACTCGACCTACTTCTGTCTCCGCAAACGCTGTTGTATCGGCAACCAGCCCCAGCTTCGTCTAAATCAAATACATCCAAGGCAACACCCGATTCACCATGGACAACACCTAGCTTAGCTTTGGAAAAGCCTCACACAGGTACGATAAAATTTGCTACGGTTTCTTCAAAGGGTAAAGCACTGGGGCAACTTTTCGGCAAAGCCCAGTATAATTTCGCTAAAACCTGTAGCACTAAGCGCTACACTTAGCTTAGCTTCATACGTCCGCAACAAGACCTGGCACAGATTTGTCGAAACTTACTGGGGGCTAAATTTCGACACCCTAAAATTCTCCCGAACGATGGATCATAGGAATTTCTTCTCAATAGTTTCTATGTAAAGCAGTAGGCATTCTTGTTCTAGTTGACATTCTTAATAAAGTTGTCCTGATTAGCAGCGATTTTATGGTCGATGTCAACGTAACATTCCTAAAAATGTACTAATGCCGTAGGGCTACAGGTCGATTCTTGTAATCGTAATTGATTTGCTGTCGGTGATCACGTCGACATGTTATTGCACGGAGTTTCGACAAGTGTATTTCCCCCCGGGGGTCAGTATGAGGGAAAACATCATAGGTGCAATGCGCAGTTCGGAGACCAGACCGTGAGGAAAGTCATTTTCTTATCTGTATCGTGATCAGGGTATCAACCTTTAGGTTTGTATATTTTAGGTTACTAAACTGCTAACTGTTTTGGCACTAATCATTGATAACGTGATTTATATAGTCGGGGATGCGGTTGCGGCAATGTGTATTGAGTGATAGATAGGTACAATTTGAGTTTCTATGGAAGTATGATTCGACTGTAAAGGTACAAATAGAAACAATGATCCCAAACGAAGCATGTCGATGCACAAGCCAAATGCAAGAAATGTAAACTTATCTATCTATCTATTTATTTAATCAAAAAAGTAACGATAAATTCGCAAAATTACCTATGAGGTCTACAAAGACGTATGGAGTCTGCCTTTTAAGGCAGTACTTATTGTCTCTGTAAGCTACCTTAATGAGTAAGCATGCTATCCACGCACGGTATCCTCAGAAAAGCGCAACACGATATATATATATATATATATATATATATATATATATACATGTGTATCTCGATGCAAAAAAAGCAGCGAGACCGGACACAAGAAATGGTAGAAGCATATTGGTAAACAATCGATGAAGTAGCAAAGCGATAGCCCGCCTAAAATCATATATTTGGGTTATACAGACGCGACCATACAGGCATATGAACCAAATAAAATATTTCAAACAATTTATAATAATAGGACCAGCGGCGCCGATCAGCATAGCATTGCTGTGGCGAAGTCTTACTCCACAATATTACACGGAAAACCGTAAGAATACTTTTTGGAACAGTGGGTTTGTGTGGCACGATTGATATGGTCCCCTATGGAGGTTTTGTTTCTATGCGTGCCGGCTTACAGACCCAGGACGGGTACCACCCGTCCGGAGTCGCACCCGGAGTGTGCGAGAGCGCTCTACGCTCTATAACGTTCCCATAGCAACCGACCCTCGAATCGCCCAAACATCACTGGACCACCTAACAACAATTCCGATAACTGTTGGACGACATGCCTGGACGAAAAATAACCTACGGCGTGCAGCACAACGGTAGTTAATTTCTTCCTCTCTTTACACCCGTTTAAAGACAATTCAAAAAAATACAGAGAAAAACGTTGACGCACTGAAGTATAGTAACGAAAAAATATTAATTAAAAATCATTCACTAATATAATTAGTTGATTACTAGAATAATTTAGGCTTCCTAAAACAGAAAGGCTTTGTCTTAACTTACTTAATAACATACGTAAATATCGAGAAGAAAAGGGACAGGTACGATGTGTATGCATCTAAATTTGCCCATATTTAAAGATCAACCATTTACATTGTCCTGTAGCAATTTCGAAACATACCATTGCCTTCTAATAGTAGCCAACCGACAGCTTTCCAGTGTGCCCCCATATCAACGGCGGATGCAAAAGAGTAGGTAAAGGTAAATCGTGCACCATCATCGCCGAACGTTGAAAAGGTGCCTTAACGGACTAGTTCTACCCTGGCCAATACTGCTATAAACTGTGTAGGATGGTGTAGCATATTTACACACTAACTGGATCCGTACCATGGTCAAAGTTTAAAGCAAAAGTGTATGAAGAGACAAAGGGATACGAACCGTAGGACAAGTACGCTTTCTCTTTGCGCGGACCTCTGTTCTACTAAGGATTATAATCGATGGTCAAGACAAATCATCTGTAAAAAATCATCTATAAGGATAGGAAAAAGGAATGTGTTTGTTCATTCATCGGCGTGCTTTTCAATAACTGGGCCATTTCGCCCATCCTCCTCCGACACGGTACATAGAGGTGTACGCCCAATCGTGTGTACCTTTGTACATGGATAAAGTGAATTAAGAGAAACAGCATAAATACAAGTCGCTGAAAACGGAAATTAAATACTTCTGAGCGACATAGACCATCGCAATGGACAAACGACAGCACCTCATCCTGACGATGTCGTCTATATACTTCGAGCAGAATAGCGACAAGTTCGAGGATAAGGTACTCAAGGTAAGGTATTTTTAATCTAGAATTGCGTATACAATAGCTTAATTGTCCACTATGCACGCAGTAGCTTGGGACAGAACATGCTTGTCGCAAAATGACAAGAACGCAAAAGCACGCATCGGAAATTATAAAAACGCTTTAGTCGTTATTACCGACTATTTGTTGGACTAAACGATGGGCAACGCTATATCTAATTGCTTTGCAAAGATTAACGAGAAGTATTTTTTCGAAAAAACGATTTAACTTTGCGTATACGCATATTCGGCAAACAGTAGCTTTTCGAAAATGTGCAATTCAAGTGGTAAGGCCAATGCTAATGGAAATATACGAACGCTTTACATAACACACCCTATCGACCATAACGGCTTTCAGCATAATTCGAAATAGCGCTTCGACATTATCCAATCTTTTAATTAAGATTTACAATTAGGTGCCAGAAATACATGAGATCTGCAAGTTCATCCGTGAGTTTAGAATGCATTGTACATTGCATTATTTATTTAGAAGCCAAACTTTAAACTTACACCCTATCTATCTTTATTTCAAAGGAGAACTTAAAACCTTCACAAGTGTGCATGTTCATACTGTATAGTTGTCACTTAATGGCTTTTGGATACGGACAGCTAATATCCCCCATAGTGAATTGTAGGGTCTACGTAGGTCATAATAGATACTGGGACCATTCCTTGAACCTGATAGCACTCGTTATGAGTTAACTTCTAGTTGCTTAATGACAATTTATCATTCATCAACTGTTTCTTATCTTTGAGGATCTTTGAGGATAAAAACCGCTTAAACACACATTCAGCTTCAGCTCTTATTTAAAACTATCCATGGCATATTAAAACACCTATCAAACATTTATGTCATTCTACCTATATCTTATTTTTCTTAGGTTATTAACATCTTCCTGGACACGCCAACTGTGACAACGCTCGCCATGTTGAAGAGACCCGATTCGAAGGAACTCGTGTCGACTATCAATGTAAGGAAATGAAGAAACGTATGACACATTTTACGCGTCGGGCTGTCTTTATTCCTGGTTAAATACTACCACTTAATTAATTGGAAAATTATGAAATTGTAGTAATTCCGGCCCGACTTTCCAGGGGGCGTAATAGTTTTTCTACGACACGTTGCCAGTCGGGGATTTCAGTTGAAAATGAATCACTACCTGTTACTTCCTACCCTTACTAACAACGTGGCAAGATTCTCACGCCTCGACGAGTTGGGTTTAATACTGGACCTGTCCGCATGCTATTGACAAGCTAAAAACTTTAGTGTTAATGCGTAGGCAAAGCCAGCCCGTTTCTATATAAAAGTCAATCCTTGTGAGTACGTAATGTGAAATAATGTACTCTATACGTAAATATGTATATATTTATGGATCAAATCTATTCTATTTGTTTTTACCAGATGTCAGACATAACCAACGCCATCGACAAAGGCCTGGTGTTTTTCAAATTGAACTCCGTTGTAATTACTGAAGATAATCTGCAAGAAAATTTACATATCACGTCGTTGGTAGACTCGCCACTTGCGTCTCTTTATGGAAACCTTCATAAGGTACCGTCTACGCGAATTTACCTAGACTCTCCCAGCTGTAAATGCAAATATTGCGTGAACTTAAATTAAGAAACATACGCGAAAATGGCGTATGAGTAAAAGGCATTAAAAAACGTCCACAAAAAACGCAGCTGTCAAATATTAAATTATAGTCAAATGTAATTTATTTCACTCAAATAGGCACTCAGGCTGATACAATGTTACAGAAAACCTAATTACAATGAACGCAGCGCTCTTCTCATGGAAGCCAATTTCGATTGGAAAATTGTGCGCTAGTAAATATCGTTATTTATACTATAGGTATTCTCCCCAGTCATTCTTGAACGCTCCAAAGCTACACCGAAATTGCAAGAGCTTCTTGGCGAGTTAGAGACAGGCCTAAGCGCTATCCTAAACCGACCCCGCAGCGGAGCGCCTCGAGGAGATCGCGAGCGTCTTGCCGCGATTCTAGAACCGCTCGACGAACTTTCGTTTTGGAGGGAGGTGGCCGCCACAGCTTGTTCTGAAGCGACGCGCGCTAAAATATTTGCCAGGTAGGGATGTACAGCGTCCGAGACATCACGGACGATGCCTTGTACCTATGCTAACGGGCATGAACAATATAGAGATCTGTTTATATAATATTTGTAAACAAGCCGTAACGGTACGAATTATCCTTTTCAAACATTGGTTGTCTCTGCTGCGACCTGATCGGTCTATGATGAGAAAATAGTGGGAAACATGCCCATAATTAATCATAACGACAATTCGATTTCACTTGCTTTAAGGTATAGAAAAAAAGCATTCTGAAACTCTTTAAATAGAATAACCCTCTCAGGACCAATTGATGCAATAAAGTACTGGCCTCACATAAAGCCCTTGTTCGATTGTATAATCAACTTCCGCAGGAAGATTAAACATCTATGACATTTATTTTCCTGTGGACCCTCTAAGGCCCTAAGGTTTACCGGCGAAAAATTAATCTACCTTTGTGTTTCGATAACGCCCAATGCAAGGTTTGAAGATTTTTAAATTGTAGCTGAAAGTATGATTTGCGCAAGTCACGAGTTACCAATTGGCATTACCATGTATTGACCTTGACATCTTCTTTGAACCATTTTAGAGTCTATTTCATAATTTGCTGCAGTAACTGCAGACAAGTTTACTGCATTAATAATAAAATTGTGCGCGTATCATATGTTTACCGTAAAGCTAATAGTTTCAATTTTAAGTTAAACGGATATATTTACTGTACATATATATATATATTTTTTGACTTTAAAGGAATTTGATACTTCTTTCCTAATTGTCATGTAACGTAACGACGTACGTTTTATGCGGCACAATTTAGTCTAAGCGGAGACTATGGAAAGTGTAACTTCAATCAATGATATGTATGCGTTATGACCGCTTTACCTCGAGGGATACGACGCTTAAGTTTCTAGTTCACGGAACACTAACAGAACTATAATAATTTTTATTTTCATTTCAACACTTAGTTATCTGGAGCCGATCGAACAAATTTATGTTAGCTCTGTATCGCTTGGCGAGCTCTCCGATAACGTTGATGCTCTTGTCAACTCCTTCGACGATCTTTGGAAACAGGAGCACGTGAAGCCGTCCTATCCCCAGATAAGAATGAGACACCTTTTCGATATCACCGGTAAATATTAACTAGATCACTTATCTAGATTAATATGTCATACAGTTTCAATAACAGTAAATGCACTATTTTATATATTCCACTATCCGAACTAAATAACTTCTTACTATTTAAATTTACCTATAAGCTACCACGTAAGCGTTAGAACGCTTTAACTAACGTTTCATTTGGTTACCTTTGGTTTGCAAGCTCAGTTAGAGGACTATAGCAAGACAAGCTAATTGAGTAGCAATGGCTAAATCTCGCATTTTGCTATACCTAAAGCTTCTTCAATCATAGTGCTAGTTTCCTAGACGGCCATTTGAAATCGCTGATTACTGCTCGGTACCTAGGTAGACTATGGACACTGAGAAAGTGATGTTGGGATCGGGTCCTTAAAGCTGGGCTTGGTCAACAAAAGCGAAACACAGCTAGGGTTGCATAATTTTAAACAACTTGTAGCTTTTCAGTGATTTGCTTGTAACAATCAGCCCAGAAGGCGGTACAGATACATAGCCAACGATCAATAAGAGCAGAATTAGACGCACAGAGGGACGCCAATATGGCAAAAAGGAGATAAGCATGCAACTGTCGTTCTTGCCTTAGACACTATTTTTGTCTATCTAATTTTTTTCTGAAGCCAGAGACTCAAGACAACCGCTGAAAGAGAAGAGTTAGGGGGCGAGATTTTGAGCTTTACGTCCTGTATCGCCGTTAGGTGTTCCATCAGGCAGGCGACTGATTGACTGGCTGGCCCCCAGCCGTCACGAAACACATTATGTCTATGCCCTATGCGTTCGAACTAATCGAAACAATAGCGTGTCCCTTAAATTAGCAGGTAAATAAGAGAAGCAACGTATTTGTAATGACTGTCATTAATGCGGACGCTTGATAGAGCTGGGTGAAAAACAACAAATTTAGCTTTAAAAACGTTTTGTATCAGTTGAGGCAAAAAAAAAAATATATATATATATATATATACATATATAATGGACCTACAGTTTAATTAATTCTAATTAATCTAATGAATGATAGCGCTTTTTAGCATACTTATACACTGAGCAGCGATTAGGGCGAGAATGGTCATCTGTTTGCCTGTCCGAGCTCAGGATCTGCCTCTTTGCGATTTCAACATGTCGCGTGTGTCGTATCACGTTTCCTGGTAGCAAGAGGGCGTTGTGGTGCGCCTTAGCAGCGCAATCGTCGGAACGCTTTTCTTTTTTTTTTTCCTCATGTATGCTCTAGGGGATGAAATGTAGACTTTCCTCCGAATATGTGACGATATAGACTATGCTTTATCGAGTGAATACATACATATACGAGTTAGTACGATGATTATCAGAGTAGCCTCTCGCGTGCAATTAAAAAACGCTTAGCGAAATTTGTAAGTATGTATCCTCAATTTCGTTTTAGGCATAACAATTACGACACAGATTCAGGAGTCGCTTCGCGAGATGCTCTGGACATCTCAATACGACCGTGTACGACTCGAGCTTGAGGTGGCGCTAGATATCTGCCTCAAATGGCAGGATGCTTGTCAAAAACATACAGGAGTATTTTGGCCTAGGGAGAACCATCAGTGGGATGGGCCCCCGTTTGTACCAACATATGTTGTTGGCTTTACCCAACGCTTACTCCATGTAGGTTCACTAATCGCGGCTTCCAATATTACAGAACATTATTATTGTTTGGATCCGATAATACCGTTATCGGTTAATCTTTAGATTTATTAGTAGGATTCTTTTGAAACTGAAATATTTGCATCGCTTCCCTTAACGTAGCAGAAACGGGAGATACGATTTCTTTGAGATCCGCCTGGTTATAACACAGTTCTAACTGTAACATTTGACGATAATAACATATTACAAAAGGTGCAGGGCTTACGAACAATCCATCAGCAACTATCTTTGCTAGCGAAGATCTCTCTTCGTGAAGACACTGAGGTGTTTGCTCCCCTGATGAAGATTGATGCCCTACACTTTAATCCCGCTACGCAACAGATCTACAATAAGGCCGTCATCGAATTCGAACATCATCTCAGGTAGGCGGTACGAAGCGTTTCAATCTATCGTCATTCAGAAGAAACATATTGCATATGATCATGTTTGCTGAAGCGCCCCATAATACTGTCGACTAGGGGCACTCAGTACGTCAACATCATGATAGAATTTCGTAAGAACGTGATTTCTTGTTGATTATTACTAAAAAGGCTTGAAATCCTTCCCTTATCGTTTGTTTGTTTGTTTGTTCTAAAGACAATTGAAGCTGTTCGTGCCCGAAATTTTTCCCAGCTATGAACGTGGCGCTAAATATGAACATTGTAAGACGGACCTGTCGATTAATTTCTCCCATCTGTGCGTGTTACACGTTAGCTGACCTATGTTTTATCGAAATTTCAGCGATAACAAACGACTGTTGGGTAGACCAATCAGATACAAAATCATCGTTGTTGTGTTACGATATGTTGTTCGTGGAATTCGTGGCGTGCACAGTTTTCGTGACGTCTGTAAAGCTAGGCGTGAGGAATTTTTCTATTATGTCGCTCGCCTTTAAGCCTTCCTAATTGCGAGCGAACCCTTTTAAAGTTTACTGCTTATCTCCGGTAAAATTAAACTAGCGTGTGGATGTTTAATATAATACTATTTGTATATGTATGACTCGTTGCAATGTATAACAGACCTTGCCTTCTATGTCATAGCTCAGCGGAAAAAGCAGCAGCCGTAAAGCTAAAACAGTTGCTGGCTGAGGCGGGAAGCAACGTCGACGGTATTCTGAGCCTTCTTAAACGTTACAAGGACGTAGCCGTGCGTCCGCAGGTCGCACTAGAACTTACCGCCGAAAGGTTCGAACGATTATGAGTTATGATATGGTTCTATTTTTAGTGTTCTTCTTCTTGTTATTATCGCACGTGGCATTGGGTTGTTTGAGTAGATCGGTATTATTCCATCGCATCAGCAATGGACGCAGCTTTCCCTGGCCAAGTCCACGACAGATTTTCCTATTATAGTAACACCCACTTTTGATTTCGACATCCGGATCACGTAAACAATCTCTGAACTACCTCCAGTTATCAAAAACCTGCTTTTTTTATTTGAAACGTCGAAGTTTTTAAGCATGTACTATTTGAGTTTACCTCGTGGCTGGCACGAGAATGTGACATCGATAAACAAGCTGTGACCCTTGCTCATATTTCGATACCTATGATAACGTAGGTATGCTTATGTATGAGACGATCCAAAAATGCTAAAAGAAAAGCGTTAATCTGCGTTCTGATGGCAATCTATATTAAAACAACTAAATTTGTACTAAGATCAATTGTTATGCTTTTCGTCAAGTACATGTGAAAGTAATTATGTTTGTTGTTTCAGTACATAATAGTTACATCTTACTTTGGATGAAAATTGGATAGAAGTTCCATTTGACACTGCGAGTAAGAGCACCTGTTTTAAATAGTAACTTTCCTATGGCTTCTGTTGTAACTAGGCTCAACGTGTATACAATGTTGAATCACCAACTCAGTTCCGTTCGTACCTCGGTCACTCGTTCGATAACGAAAAGTTATGCTGAACATAGAAGTGGCTCAACTTAAGTGAAACAGTTATGCCCGATTTTATCTTTATTTATTGTAAATTATGCTACAATGACGTTCTCAGATCTTCATTTTCCACATTGAATACGATGCCACTTAGCTTAACTGCCGTCCTGGTCATTCAATTTTTTATTAAATTCCCTTGTATGTGAATAGGTCCGGGTAAACAAAAGTACTCCAGCAACACGACGAGGATTTACAATCCATGTTTGCGAAGATTGTATTTGCAGTCCACATACAGTGACGTACAAAATAAGGTGCGTTATGCACGAAAGCGTGCTTCATCTTTCGTCAGGCCATAAAGCGAAAAAGCCATATAACGGAGACGCTGCTTTTTGCAAGTGTGCAATACTTCTCGAACAGAAAACATACAAAACCTCGTTGCCCCTTATTTTTTCTGATAGGCCCAGAATGCTCGTAAACCGATAGAGCCGACAGGTTTTTATTAGATAAACGTGTTTCTTATTCTTATTTAGTGGTAACCTAGTTTTTGCTAAGTGTTATATCCGGCAGATATACATCGAACAGCATTGCCTTTTATTATATTAAGAACGTGTAATTAGAATTTACAAGCTTCGTAGCGCTACTGGATGTTGGACTTGCAGAAATGTCCTAATCAATAATAATTCCCTAACTAATTGACGCGTTCCTTTAGACAGAAAAAAATGAGTTTTTGACTCTTAAGGTCCAACAAAGCCCGCGGCTTAATTAGGCCGAAATCGTCACCCGTACATTGACGTACTTATTGCAGTTCGCATAGGCATAATAGCCATCTTTTGTTGTTACGCGCCCCGGAACGTCAGGTATTCTAGGCAGTATAATTTTGCTTACTTGTTGCACTAGCGTCAATTAATATTAAGTACCCTTTGAATTAGATAGCAAAGTTTTTATGTCCGAGTAAGGGGCATTCATTTTGTGCTTTCTACAATATATACCAGGAATGGACATAATTTCGGGATCGTTAATGCTACGCAAACATACTTTTTGGTCGAGGTTATTAACTTAAATGGCAGAACTTTTTTTTTTTTTCATAGAACTAGATATTCCATATCATGTCCGCTTTTTACTCTACCATAACCTAGCTATCAGACCATGTGTTCGTTTATATATATAAATGCGTGAAAATGAAGATTTTTTTGTATGGCTTGTTTTTTTACGTTGTATTTTGAACGATTTTTTCTTGCGTGTAATAAAAGCATCATCTTTGGCGGTCATGTCTATGCAATAAAATTACTATTTATTGCGGTTACGGCTTCAATTCGCGATTTTACCGCTAACCAGTCATTTTTGAAACATTTTTCCACAAATCTGCACATCGAAATCATAGTAATTTCTCGAGAATTTTTCAAAAATACAACGGTTCGGAACGACTAAAAATTCAAAAGTTGGAAAAGGTCCAAACAGTTCGAGCTTATTTAGGCGACTCGTTTAGAAAGTGATACTCTGTTTTTCTAAAACGGCCATTAATTTTTGTATAAAAATCCGGGTGAATCAGAAAGGACTTTTGGACAATTTTAATATATTTTGAGCTCCCTAGATCTGAGCCCAAAGGACGATACTCGTTTGCGTCGCGGAAGTCTTCATCGGATTTTTCAGAAGTCGCATGAATACTGTCAGTATGAGAAACTTCCAATTTTAAGCAAAGTGGGAAGTTTTTACGTTGATGGAGTCTCGTCCCGCGCGGGAATATTGGGTAATAGCTAATCTGCAATCAAAAATATAAAAACAACACGCTGTTATTCCCTACGACGAATCTACCGTTAGAAAGATGAACGAATAAGCACACGCGCACTATACAGAATAGTTTGTCAAAGTTTTTCTAATTTGGACGCAACACCCTGTACATAGAGATATATGTCTGACTGAGAATATTTGATTGGTCCACAGGGAAAATATGATAGTTCAATTTAGCGAGTACGTTACCCACATGAGGCGTGAGTTTGATCAACGTATGGATCACGAGGAGCGAAACAGAGTAGCTCACATGCCCGCAGTCGTGAGCAATGTCCTCTGGGGAAGGCAATTAGAAACAAAGGTAGCTCACTTTCTAATTCGTTTATATGCTCGCTTGCCATTTGTGCAGCGGGACATCGTAACTTGTTCTTATTTTTGTATGTTTTATTTACGCTTTAAGAAAAAAGCAGTAGCTAAACTATCTAGCAGAAATAACATTATTATAAAGCGCGTCCGCATGTTTTTTCTGTGTTTTTATGATAGTTACTACTATGACTCTAAGTATAGAACATGTAGTCGACAATAGAAACGAATGAGGAGTGAACGATGAATGACGACGGACAGTTCACCAGAGATAGCACATAGTTAAATGATTGTTTGTTACTTTTGCATATAGATCGTCGACCTTCAAAACATGACATCGTCTGTATTACAAGGTCTATCGTTGAGTAGAAAATTAGAAGAAAAATTGCGTACTTTTCGCCTCGATGTTGTTGAGTACCAGAAGGAGATCTATGATTCGTGGTGTCGAGATTTACAGGCGGGAATACGGGACAAGTCACTCAGGTACGTGGAACGAAGGCTCATTACCACACAGTGGAACTCTGATATACGCTCTCTCTATCGAGCGCCGTTGATTAATTTCAAATAGCTATTATCTGTGCTAGTGTTGTATTGCTTCAAAAGTGATTTTTTCAATTAATTAGCCGAACGCAGCTTCGATTGGGGAGGCGGTAGATAGCATCCGGGAACTGTAGTAGATCTTTATAATGGCGCAATGGTAACGTGTGCAGCTATGATAGTCTTTGTTTGAAAGCACTGGCCACAAGCTTTTGATTTGACGCGATATTAGATTCCGTTCTGAATCAAGGCCCGAGGATACGGGGCCTTTTTTAAGATTTTAGTGGCTGGAAATCCAATAATACCAGAGATGCATGCCTTAACACACATTCGAAACCGGGCTTAGGCACGCTTTGTTTAGTTCGAGAGCCAGCCGTCTGAGGCAGTGCCAGTAACGGTAGTACTATAAGGACAGAAATGTTTTCCTTTGCACACATTTTTTATGCTTTTTTTGAGATTATTCATTCCTCTGTTTCACTTTAATGTCTATTGGCTAGTTGGTCAGGGTAATAAATGTCGTCCTCTGGAATTACGTTACCTCGAACTGACAGGACAAAAGTCCTACTATAACTACATAAATATAAAATAAACAATAGACAATTCTGATGGAAACTTGTGCTTTTTGTCCCGAAAAATCGGAACTTGCTTGCCCAGCATTTGCATTCTGCCCATTGCCTTTATCTGATCTTTGCGTGGCATGAACAACAAAGCCCAGTTGGGTTCAACGAACGCTAACAAAGACCGATACACATTTTTTTGCTATGAGATATCATATGAACAGTCTCGTCTTCAATACAATCGTAGACAGTTCGGTACACTATCGCTAAAAGCATTTCTGACCCATTTCTCACTGTTCTCGATCGCTTTGAAGGCAGAACAGAATGTCCCCTCTAGGAATGTGGAAACTGCATTCAGGCCACTTCGAGGTCGTCGGTTGCCGCCTTAGAATAACCAGACGTAGCCTGTTGAGAGCACTGCGCTACTTCGAAGAATCTTCACACTTATTAACCACAGGCGATTGATTTAATAATTAGTGAATATGTGCGAGTATCGTTAAATGAGTTGATTAAAGAAGCATAAACGCTTGGCCAGAAGCATAGCTTGTTATTAACAGAATTTAATTACAAAACGTATACGTTCGGTGAGTAGCACCCATATGGCCTGATTTCGATAACTTTAAACCAATTATTATAAACCGGGCTTTTCACGACATCGAGGTCTACTATACTTAGCTTATTTGTATTCTAATGAATTCACTCTATTGAACGAACGTTTCAGTGGTAGATAACCTCAACTGTCGGTCCTTTTTCTGCTTCGGCCAGAACAGGACACGGAATGCTGGTGAAACTTACTTTTTCTGTTACCTTACTTTGTGTCATGGCTTCAATAGAAAACATACGACCTATTCTAGAAATCCATAGCATATCAAGCACAACTTATTTCATAAGCTATTAACAGGGTTTCATCTATTTACAGCCTGGAGAAACTTCCGATCATTTAAAAAGCTGGAATAGTTGGAAGGTTTTCAACTGAGCTCGATCACATACTACTAGTCCAACTAGTACATCACAGAAAAAATGCACATTATGTTATAGCTCGTATGCCTTTGGTCCAGAGATTTGTGTGGCCTGCCTGCCTGCCTGACCTTTTCGGTTTTTTAGATATCATGACTTAGCAATCGTTAGTTCGAAGCCACAATGCGATGCGTAAAAACTTTTTTTCTTTCGTGCTCGAAGGTAGCCTAGGACTTAGCATGACACATGCCTATAAACAACTAGTCCTAGTCGCTTCATAATTATCGAATTATATTCGATATTATAATATTATATCCGATTTGTCATCTTTGCAACAATGGCTTTCCGCTTTTTTGGACGGATATATATATCATCACTGCTCTATTTTTCCGGACGATACACGGAAGTGTGCCGTAGTAATTTTCATTGTCTCCTCTGTGTCTCAACTGACCTCTAGCTCGATCACAGATCAACTTCTTCAACATTTGTTGATTTTATATTGTTTTGATGTTATTATCACCACTAATGCTCATTGGCTGGCCCCGTTGGTTGATTGACCTGACGGGTGGCCTTCATGTCGCCTGCCGATGCTGATCCTCTTGATGTGACTGCCAGCCTAGACACCAATCAAACTGTTATTCGGCTAGACGCTGAAGGCACGCCCCGAGTGAGTTACAGTCCCCGGTTAGTAACGCTGATACAGGAGGTGCGACAGCTGCGTGTTCTCGGTCTTACGATTCCGCCGGCCGTCGAAGAGGTTGACGCAAAAGCGAGACTCTATTTTAGACAAGCCAAGGTAGGTAATAAACCGGCTTTTTTAGGGCAGTCCGCGGTCCATTACATACGAACGACAGTAGTGATAATGCCGAGTGATAATGAATGTTATCTGTCAAAAAGCTCACTTTTTTATTCTTTTGCCTATCTTATTCATTCCGCTTCGTCTTCTATCAGCGCATAAGTTAGCGCGAAACAGATACTGGACATTATACTTCTATCTCAATCATTATGAACTGAAACTCAAGTTAGAACGAACAGTCCTAAATAGCATATAAAAGTAAAAAAAAAAACAAAAAAAAAGTAAAGTGAAGCTACTCGTTTGATGAAATAGATGATAAGTGCATGTCATTTGTCAACAAGAAGATGTAGTGTTTATGTGTATGAATCATTTATCGCTAAGCTGGGGAAGATTGGAATTGAAGAAACCAAAGATCAATTTTTAAAACGATTATTAAAATTAGGCTAACAATATTATAATGTCACGAACGAATAGGTAAGCTAGAGAAAATAAATTCTTACTGGTTTTATTCCACTTAATGTAGGATCTCCAGCAAATTGGAAACTTCTATATGACCATTGCCGACCATATGATCCTAAGTCAAAGGCCAATGATGCTGTCGTCGGCCCAGCAATTCACAAAGCTTATGAATAGCAGAGAGAAAACAGCTACGTGGAATGATCCGCAAGCCGTCGATGCCTACATTAAGGTATATTGAAAGGAAAGATCGATAAGCAACACAAGCTCAAGTTAGGTTAGGATCTTAATTCGCCTTTTCTAACAAGGGACCGATATCGAGCCGTTTCAAAGAAAACAGCGATTTCTATCGTAAAATGACGGAGCTAGTATCCGTAGGTGTTCACTAGTAAACGTAGAGGGGGGTCTTACCTAAACGTAGAATAAATAGCAGACGATATTTGGCATAGGGTGGTCACAATACGCACGCTAGGATGGTTGCCTAGTATAATAGCGTAACAATGAAACAGGTTCACAGGATAAACTGATTAGATAATCGACTAATACCGTGATATATTCATACATTACACTGTACGATAAGTACTGTAAATAAGCGAACATATCTAAAATCGATGAAGGATGCTTTACGATACATACTGTATCCGAAAAAAGAAAATGTCGAAAAAACAACAAGGTGCCACAACAGCTGCAATGGAGGATGACAATAATTTACTACTTATTTTCTCAGAGGAATATACCGAAACGTTATCTATCATTGTCGTTGTTAATTTACTTCCTGGATAATGTCGATATCGCAAATTTGGCATTTACCTGCTACTGTCGTGATGATATTCGTTATACAACAAAGGCTGAAGAACGAGGTCCCGCCTTTGACAGCCTTCAGCAGCCAATTTTTAGGTCCCCGTGACGTTGACTGGGTTCTTGGCCCAAACGTCAGATGACGCAGTTCAAAAGGCATGAATATGTCCTCCTGTATTAGGTCGTTCCGCATCCGTCCCTTAAGAGTTTTGAATTAGCGTACTGGCTTGTCTAAAGCGGTATCTAAAGGCAGATTTTTGTCGAACCCAGCTCTACTATCTAGCTCCCCGTAGCGCTAGTAGGCCCGATGGAGCATGAACGACAACACTGAAACCTCCTAAAAAAACTCGGTAAACAAGCGCATCGGGATATCTCCGATTGGGTGCAGGAATAGCAATCATATTTAGTATACGTTATTCTGCAGCGAAGGGCTGTAATAAAGAAAAATCTCAAGTTAAAGTCAATTGTTACGTAAATACGTAGTAAGATTTCGCTAGTGCGTCTTCGTTCTTCCTTAACGTCGTAAGTAACGCCTTCGCTATGAAAAATATAATGATTTCGGATATTCGAAATTATTATATTTTTCATAATCAAACAGAAATTATAGTTCCACCATTTTCTTTATATCCGAGTCAATGTCGACTCGAGCACGAAGTGCCGAGGAGACTGGCTATGCGCTTGATGTAAGGGTTATGGGCTTTTTCTAGTTTACTAGCTTCTAAACGAATTTTTCGGTTTGCACTATAAACAGTCATGTAATTAGTAAGGGGCATTTTATTAGTTAGGCCTAAACGACTCTGTAACGTTTCAGCCATGTCAAAACACGAAAAACCACTTTTCACAATTTAAGTTGTACAATTGAACGTTTAATCTTTACGCTGTAGTAAATGTAACTTTGAACCATTTTTTTTTTATGGAGCCAACTGTTAAATTTCCAAAGGCGATCGACGTAGATACCGCACTGTCCGTAAAGCGAAGTACACCTAGGGTGCCCCGTTGCAGATTCCTGCGCAGTGTCAAAGTTGAAAGCATACAATTAAAAACAGCAAAATATTTGCGACGTGTGTAAGAAGGAGTTGAATCTAGCGGCTAAGAAAAGACCGGGGGCACTTTCCGGGCAAGATCTAATTGGAGACTATCTGTCCCTCCACATTTACGGAATGGTAAAGCTGTAGCGTACGCTGGGATACGGTATTGTCCATACGCGTTGCATGTTGGGAACCGCTGGCCGATCTGGACTAACGGCTACCTCACTGACCATTCTGATGTAGCAACTTCAATTAAAAACGAACCACTCTTCAACCGCGCCTAAGGGACTAATCAAGCAGAAGATTTATCTAGCTCTAATCTTCTCTTACGTTTACATCTCACAGAATTATTTTTGATGATTAATAATTTCTGTTGATAATATAAAGAAGAGAAAAATAACGGGTTCTGCAAAGAGTAAGGAAAAACTTACGCCCAAATTAAGATCGAAGATAACCTTGTCCTGTGAACTATTTAATCCTGGTTCTAATTTGGTAACTTCAAAGCTGCTGTTCATTACCAAGTGTTTAACTTTCAGTATCGCTTATTTACCTTTCATTCTATTTAGAAACTGCAAGACGTAGCCGAGAAGTTCAGCCGCTTAAACCGAATGTTGCGACGCCAGCATAATGATATCACTGAAAAGGTTCTCCAGTTGATGTCAACGGATTTATTATCTAAGCAATCAGTATGGAAAGAACTGCTAGCGGAAATTCGAGGCATAATGAACAAACTTCAAGCACAAGGCTTCAACCCGGATCATATGCGGTCATGGAAAATTCACTGGGATCGACAGTTGTACAAGGTCCTCGATTATCAATACTGCGCTTGTGTCGGAAAATTGTCCCAACATATGGCCGAAATAAGGGTCGATCTTACGTTCAGGTATGCAACACACTATAGCCACAGTTTGCTTCTCTTACAAAAAGTGTTTCTAAGACGAAAGTGCCATA